TGGAAATGAATCAAGCCTCCAGGACTCAGGTTATCTGCCTCTTTTTGTCCTCAGCGCAACAGCTGTGCAGAGTTTCAGCTGCAGCCTCATCGCATCTAATGATGGTCCTGATTGGACCGATACCGTCTCCCCTGAGGGCCAGACGGCCTGATTTGAAGGTTTGGTTCTAATTTGCACAAGTCAAATCTCCAGAACATGAAAGACAGACAAACACACAGGGAGCATTTCAGTCATCTGACAGACTGGTTTAGTTGCACACTTTGGAGTGGAGCTTTAATTCCCTGGAAAAGATGCAGAATTTTTTTTAGGAATTTGCTCCAAATTTCAGCTGAAATTTGCATGAAGTTCAAACTGGAATTGTCTGATCATAAAAGTATTTAAATGTCTTCAGCCTTGACACCAAAGCGTTGTTCTGATTAAAATATGATTCTCTAAAAGTAACACAAATGTTACATTTATCATCAAATTAACCACATTTCTGTGTCCTGACGCAGTCTGGAGAATTTTAATAGTTAAAATGCTTTTCCAGGTGTTTTGTTTTGATCACAAACAACTTAAATGAGCATAAAAATATATGATATGCTGATAACATTTGATCTTATTTATATTTTAATAAATTCTTTAGGGTAAAAATCACCTAAACTTCCCAAACATCCATAAAAAGTTTTACACCTGCAGGTTTTCCTTGCAAAATGAAACAATAGTGATTATCTCTCAGGTGGTTGAGGTTAAAGGTCATCAATTAGGGTTGATTTTTAGATAATTTGCCTGCTCACTCCCCCCTCCTGCCTTCATTTACAAACAGAACCTTGTCAATGGAAAGCAAACGAGAGGGAAAAGGAAACGTGGCCACCATCTCAGACCGTTTCCACTCGGAGACTTGAGCTGAAGCCTGGAGGCCAGCGAGTCCCATTAAGCTCTCCCAGGTCCTGGAGGGTAAAACAAGTTGAGACGAGAGTTCGCTGCATCCTTTTCAGATGAGATAATACACCCGAAATACCTTTGTGATTCCATCCCTCCTCACTGCAACGCAACCAATTTGTACGGAAGAGGAAGTGAGGATGTCGTCAGTCATCCGAAGTGAGATCTGAAGGGAGTCGTCTGTGAATGAGCTCCTGTCACCCGACCAGTTTCAGCTGATTTCACGTCAGCTGCATCAAGTTAAAGGGGAAAGTAGTTTGGCTGCTGAACATGTTTATTTATTTAGTTACTTTGCTGCCGTTCTTTTCTGGTTAGCATCCATAATCCTGATTTTATCTGCATTTTGTTGAATTTGGAGGGTTGGTGGGACTAAAGTGATGTTAGAACTGGAGTGCGTATCTCTTGGAGCTGCCACAGTGATATTTAACCAAAACTACATTAAAGATAGAGATGCGCCAAAACAAAATGGCTCGTGATCAGATTTGGGCAACAATCAGTGTGATCGGCTTAAATCGGTTTAGGTGTTGCTACTTAAATACATTTTTAGGTTAATCACAATTGTTTTAAAGTGTGTTAAGCATAATTATTTTAGATGAATTGTTATTAGCAGGTCAGAGCTGTCTGAGGGTTACAAATCGGTATCGGCTCTCAAAATCTGAATCAGTGCAGCTCTACATACCCTCTCGGACTCTTTTTCCTTTTATCGAGCTTCTTCTTCCTCCTCGGTCCCCAGTGCGATGTGTTTGGGTTGTTCAGTTGACTGGACTGTGTTGTTAAAGGAATGCTAAAGATTTCCGGACCACACTTCCCATGTGACAGAACCAGTGTGAAAACAAACTAGTTTGCCATCTGGAAACAGCTAATCAGCCACAAGATTTGGCCAACAAAGCAACCGGTCTACCTGACAAAAGTAAAGGTGACCAAATCCGGCAGCGCTCTTCAGGATCAGGTAACCAAGCCCTCCTGTAATTCCACCTAGCAGCTGGACAGGAAAACCCTCAAACTCGACGTCTTCCCAACTACATACAGCGAATTTTCTGAACGCTTCCAGAGCTTGAGGTTGGTCTGTTTTGCCTTTGCTGCGTGAGTTTGGTATTAGTGGTGGAATCCTCTCTCACCTTCTTTAGGTGGTGGTTGGTGGCTTTGCAGAAACAGAACCAAAAAAAGCTGCTGCAGCTTCCAGCTTTGTGTGACTTCAAGAAAACAAGAAGCACAGAAAAAAGTGAGATCTGCCAATGCAAAGAAACCTGAGACAGCGGCCCAGACTGCACCCACGTCGCTGTACAGTTGACCCCAGATTAACCTATCAGGTAAATATAATCCTCTGTATCACGCAGGCCTATGAAAACGCCAGGATGCCAAGGTCTGGTGGCATTCGACAGCCAATGAAAGACAAGCGCTGTTTTTTTCTGGTTAATGGAAGAAAACAGTCCCAGCATGCAGGTGTCTATCAGCTCATCTCCTCCTGGTCCTTCAGGCTGACTCACGGAGGCTTATGAGGTCTCACAAACCAAATAGTGGTGGATCAGCCTGCTTTCAGCGTTTATCTCTCTTCTGGATACAAATCTAAGCACTCATGCAAAAACTGTCCAGCAGGGTTCCAGTTCATTTCCTGGACAAACCGTGGACAAAATGTTTCAGTGTGAATGTGGGTGCTGGAAATATTTAGTTTGATAGATTATGATGACATCAGACATCAGCTCAGGTGTTAAAAATCACAGTCGGTGTGTGTCGCTATAGAAATGATGTCTAATTGTGTGTTTTTGTTTATTTTTAAGCCTACAGATTGAGGAAGTTGTTTTTTGTATCGTTCAGATGAGGTCTGTATGCTTTGGTACACAAACAGAAGCTTCTGTTTTCAGTGTTTCTGACATGAAACTCAACATTAAAGCAGAATAAATAAAAATAAAATCCTAGTCCCAGATTGTACAGATAACTTCAAGAATGAGATTGTATACAAGTTTGAGAGCATTTTAAGTTTGGAAAACTCAAAAAAATTAAATGAATAAATTAAAAAAAAAATTTAAAGTACCAAATTAGTTTTTAATTTTTCACTTTTTAGGTGAATTTGATATAATTTAACTTTTTCCTGAGCTTTAGTTTCATGTACTTTGTTATTTTCACCTATTTTATTAAATATAAGGACCTCATAAGCATAAAGCAACATAGTTTGAGAACAATTAGGTGCGAATAAGTTGAATTTGTTTTTACTTGTATTAATTTAAAATTTTAAAGTAAATATTAACAGGTGAAAGGTGAAATGAAGGCAGAAACATCCTCACAAGGATTCAGGGTCTCAGGAGGTTAAACTCTAATTTCAACTCATAATTCTTATAATTAAATGTTTTTGTAATTTAGGAGATTATCTAGAATAGTCTTTTTGTGTTGTGTTAAAAATATTAAATGGATTTTAAAAGGACTAGCAAATAAAACAAATGTGATTTAAGTTTTGGATTCATTTCTTTCCTGAACAAGATTTTTTTTACCTTTTCTTTTTAATTTCATTTAAAAAAATCTATTTTAATCTTTGATGTTTTAAAATGATTTGTTTAACTTCTGCACGTAGTTTACGCCTCCATGCAGGGGAAAAAATAAAGACGACAAATAAATGAGATTTCAGTGATTTTTGTTGAACTGAATCCTTTCCAGGGGTATTTTTACCCCTGAAGGCCACAACTTCTCCCACCCCAGACTTTAATCCCTCCATTGTTCGTTCAATCCCGGATTAAACCAGTTTCCAACTTTGATTTCTATCTTTCTCTCCAGCGCATCTGTTTCATTCTTCCATCTGTGTCGTAAAAGCCGTCTCCGTCTGGCTGCGGCACCGCGTGTGTCGCCGGGAAACGCGTAGTTACGCAGCGTTTGGTCAGATTGGAGACCTGTGGCTCCCCTGAAGTTCCTCAAACAGTCGCGCAAAGATTTGCGCGCAAATGTTTGTTTGATGAAAATCCGAACAAATCCGCCGCTGTTGGTGGACACTCGCTGCGCTGTTTGCGCGTCTTGGCGCAAACATGTTTAATGTTGGCAGATATTTATTCAGCTGCTGCGGGATTCATTAACATAAAGAGACAAACAACGGCGGCAGCTGAAAGTCTGCAGGAGGAGGAGGAGGGGTCGACTAGGACGGACATCATCATCATCATTATTATTATTATTATAAATAATACACGTCTGTTCTGATCAATCTGAGCTCTTTGTCTTTTAAATTGTTGCAAACCGAATATTTATGTCCGAATTACACCCGCGTTTCATTTGGAGTGCTTCAGGAGTCTTTGGAGGATTTTAAAAATCACCTGAAATTAAAACATTACAACAGTAATTGAAAACAAGTCATTTATATCGTTGCTGCCTGTTTTATAACTTTTTCATCATTTGTTTTATTAAGTCAGCAGGTTTTCATTTGCAGTTTATCCTCAAAAGGTACAAAAACCGACTTTTACAGATTCTTTTCCTTAATTTTCGTTCAGCTAAAATGTATTTTCGATCATTTCCTACTGAACATCGTTTTAAATATATTGGAAAACTCGAACTTTTTGGATTAAAAAAACAATTTTAAGTATTTAAAACAAAATTTCCTAAAACAAATAATATTCATGCAAATAGTCATCAGTTTTAAAATAGTATTTATTTTCTCTTTTTTTTTTGCTAATAAAAAACTGGCAAGTTTAACTGATTTGTCTAAATGTTTTCATTGCTGCCTTAACACGACCAGATTTACTCTAAATGACATGATATAATTTATCTTAATTATTTAAAACTTTTCATTTATTTAATCTCGTTCCACCTGTGAGAATAAATGCATCAAACCCTTCTCCCATCTGACCCCCTATAACCTGGCCCCACCTACGTAATTACCGCATCAGAGCCCCTGGAATTCCTGCAGGTTATCCTGGAGAAACCAACTCAGGAGTAATTATCACCCCATTACTGCTGCATTCATCAAACGTCTTCTGGCAGCCCACTTTTACCGCCGGAGTTTAAATAATAATAATAAATAAAGAAGTGAGAGGCAGCCTCCCTGAAGCAAGAAGAGATGTTGGTATTTCAATTTAAAGCAGGCGGAGAGGATTAAGCATGTGCTGCGTTCAAGGCTTGTTTTAATTAGGGACTCATTTGCATTTCGCCTGCGATAATTAGAGAGAAACAACATAAACAAGCCCTTAAATAAAAGTGTGACTAGTTCAAATGAGAGGAAACAGCTTTAGCTCCTGTTCAAACCGAGACAGAATTCACTTTAAATTTTTAATTTGACTTAACGGATCTTTATTGGATGAACATGTATGTAAAGTGTTGTTGCCTTTAAGATACATTCAACATCTCACTCTCATTCTGCAGCTCCAAATCCACATTTTCCCCCTGAAGAATACAGAAAAAAATCTTTTGACTCCAACATTCAAGCCAGGTGCTGAGGTTCAAACATCAGCAAGAGAGGAGGTCTGGGGGTGGGGGGGTATTTTGGGTTTCAGTTTTTTCCCTCCCAAAAACCAATCTAGTTTTAAAATCTGAATGTATGTAAAAGTTATTGGCCAATTTGTTCTCTTTGGAATATTTGAAAAGATTTACGTACATTTTTTTTCTCCCAAAGTCGTAAATAAACAATTTCAAATTCAGAAAAGAAAACCAACTAGTCATGGTCACTGCAACTGACCCAAATACATATTTACACATTTCAGCTCCTCACTGCAGCTGACTAAAAATCTCTGTCATCCTAAATTAACAAATTTGAGAAATAAAAACTGTACAGGATTTGTTTGGGTTGGAGGTAAAAGGGCCCTGAAGGCAGTTCCTGTCGGAGCAACGGAGGGGAAAATATTCCTCCCTTCCAGAGAGCTGGTGGTCGAAGGAGTTTGGTTGAAATTTCTTCTCTCTGCGTTTAAAAAGTTTTGTTTATCTCCTCCAAGAAGGATCGTCTTATAAACCCCCCTTGTGGTCAGAAAGCTGCCCCTGATGCATCACAGGACTCAAGGATTTTTCTTCTTTTATTGTTTGGGACGAGGAGGACGAGAGGGAGGAGAATCAGTTCAGTTGACGGGCATTCCTGCTGCTATTAAAGTTAATAAACTCTTTGTTTTTGATAACAAGCAACAAACTATTCTGGAAAATAAAAGAAGGAGCAGGAAGGGAAGAAGAAAAAAAAAGTTGATCACAAGACTTGGAACCTCCAGGAGGCCTGGTCTTTGTAGTCCAAGCAGTCTGTGGTGTTAAAGTTGAGCTTCCACGAGGAGGCTGCAGTCTGCTCTTTGTAATCCAGGCAGTCAGACGAGTTGAAGGCCAGACCGGAGCCACCGTACGCTTGGGGGTGGTGGTGATGGTGGTGGTGCCCTGACGACTGGCTGATGTGGTGGTGCGGGTGACCTGACATGGATGAGGCCGTCATGGGGCTTAGCTGGTGAGGGTGGTGGTGGGAGTGCATGGGGGCCAGGTAGGAGCTGCAGTCCACGCCGCTGAAGTACGAGCTGGAGGGGGTGGGGTAGCCCTGGCCGTAGCCTGGTGTCTGGTTGTAGGACATGGGGTAGGAAGTGGCAGCAGCAGCGGAGCCTGACATGGAGCGCTGCATGCAGGAGGCATTAGACGGCGGTCCGGGTTCAGGGAGCGGGGCCACAGCTGGAGCTGGGGCGTTTCCTGGGGAGATGGCAGGGCTCCAGATGGAGGACACGGTGCTGATGGAGGTAGAGGTGCTACTAAGAGCTGAGGGGCCTGTGGGATTGGTGGACGAAGATGAAGAGGAGGAAGAACCCGTACTGGAGACAGCAGGAGGTGTGAACTGCCCACTGCTCTCAGAGCCGGTGCTCTCTCGGGCCGGAGAGGACTTCTTCTTGGGCGGCCTGGCCTTGGCGCTGCTGCTGCCACTCTGCTGCTGCTGGCGACACTTTGCCCTCCTGTTCTTGAACCACACCTACAACACAAACAACAATAGTTAGTACACAACCTTAGCATTTCCTGAATAAAAACAAAACAGAAGGAGAAAAACTCGAAGGCCATGTTGGGAGTACATCATGGAGGAAAATTGAGGGTTATTATCCATCAAGGTTCATTTCCACCCCGGCCCCTTGGCTTGGATCCACCAGGGGTCTAATTTCATACCTGGTAGACGGCTCTAAGATAACAGGCTATTGAGTTTCACTGCACAGTAGGATAACTGAAGAGCACTGAGAGGGTAGGATCGTGTAGAGCGATTTGTTTCACACACACATTTTGAAAATAACTCAAACTGTGAGATAAAGGCCTTGGTTTTCCCTTTTGTGCTTTTTAAGAGTAGTATTAGTTTGGCACTGTAGTACAGCAATAAAATATTTGTAGTATATGCAAAAGAAAGTACTAAAGGTCCAGTAGTTCATATCAAATTACTTCGGCTGTCTCAGGACAAAATAAAACTGTTGTTTAACTTGTGGTGATGAATGTGATTTGTTTACTTCTAAAATATGACATTTTATCTGTTAACTGTCATAAACTAATGTGAAACAGGATGAAGAAAAACTAAAAAAATTAAAAAATCCACAACTGAAGGGTGTGTGACTTGTTTACATGAGGATTTAAATACTTTCCCAGCTACTTGTGAATGTATATGCAACATTATAGCTAAATTAGCCAGCATGCTAATTTCAAACACCCATTAATAACCTTAACTCAGTGGAATTATAAAATAAATTCTCAAGTGCATTTCTGAGTAAAATTCAAGGACAAAGTTATTCATTTCTACATTACGCAGCAAAGTATTTCTGAAACACGTTAAACTGCGTGAACATTATCCATTATCCAGCCTAGCTAAAACATCCGGGTAGTTTGTTGTCAGATAATGTCGATTATTTATGACGTAAGGATCGCCCGGAATGTTTTAAACTAGTATTTTGCTTTTTGGCTAAATAAATTATATTTATACACAAAATTTAAATAATATTATGAATTTAAATAGAATAATAAATTGTCGGATTTTTTTTTGTAATAAGTACCAAGAAATAAAAGTTAGTCAGGTTAAAACAAGCCTCCCGCTGTTTTAATCAGGCTGCTGCTACCTGAACTCGGGACTCCGGGAGGTTGATTTTCAGCGCCACCTCCTCCCGCATGAAGATGTCCGGGTATCGGGTTTTGGCGAACAACGCCTCCAGGACGTCGAGCTGAGAGCGGGTGAAAGTGGTCCGCTCCCTCCGCTGCTTCCTGGGAGTCGCTGCGGGGAAGGAAACGGCCCAGGTGGGACGAGAAACACCGTAAGGAAACGTGTAAAAACACCGGAAACAATTAAACACGTTTACTTCTCACATTCAACCAGCCGCGTTTAGCTGGAAAAGTGGATACGCAGCTGACGTGTGTGTGTGTGTGTGTGTGTGTGTGTGTGTGTGTGTGTGTGTGTGTGTGTGTGTGTGTGTGTGTGTGTGTGTGTGTGTGTGTGTGTGTGTGGTGCCGGGCTCCTACCTGGGTAACCCACCGACGGGTGCAGCAGGTCCATGGCAGCGCCGCTGAGCCCCAGGCCGTTGACCCCATAAGGGGGCTGTTTGAGGTAGGACATCATGCTACAGGCGGTCACTGCTCCACCCAGCTCAGGCCAGTGGTTCAGTTTTCCCCGGTGCTGCAGCTTGACGGGACAGAGGACCGATCCAAGTCTCTGCGCGCGCGCACACACACACACAAAGAGAGAGAGAGAGAGAGAGAGAGAGAGAGAGAGAGAGAAAGTCAGTTAAAACTTGCAGATCTGTCTTAAATGCTTTAAACATGTTGCATTTTAATAGACAATAAAAAGCAGCAGTGAAATACAATGACAAGACTTTATTAGTTTCCCCCTTTACTCATTAATCTCGATTTAAGGATAATTACCCACAAATAGAAACCAGGCAAACGATTACGGAAATTATTTTATATACAGGACACATCTTTATTTACGTTTTACTAACAAATCCTGCTCAAGTGACGCGAAAATTCAGAAGAGGAATTATTTTAAAAATACAATAAGTCACAAATTATTTTAACTGTTAGACTTTAATCTAATTTTTAAGACGTGACATCTAAGAAGAGAAATAAAAAGTTGGATGGAGAGAAGTGTTGCTAAATCCGTTTTTATAGCCTGCTTTGTTTTTATAAATGTTTTATTCATAAGTACTCACATCCGCGCGCACATTTCCCCCAACGCTTATGTTTCATCACACATCTGTTCTGTTGAGATTTGTAAAACATAAAGTATAAAATAAATTTAAAGTTAACGCGCTCAATTTCAATTTTGTTTCAATTTATTTTGTTTTGTTAATTTAAAAAGGGGTAAGAGGATATGTTGGACCATGTGTGAGCGTGTTTGTGAGTGTTTGTGAGCGTGTTTGTGAGTGTTTGTGAGTGTGTGAGTGTGTGTGTGTGTGTGTGTGTGTGTGTGTGTGTGCTCTAACCTACACTCACACACACATAAAAAAGATGGATTATGGATGTCGTTTGATAATCTATAAAAATCCCAGCTGAAGCTTTTCTGTTGGTCTCTGGTTTGTTTCGGGTCGCTGCGCTTTGTGTGTGTCCGGACCAGAACCAGGACCCCTGCGGATCCTGCAGTCCGCCGCTCAGAGCAGTGGGATTAAGATCCAACAACAAGCCTCTGATTTAGTCCTCAGAATAAAAAACAACAACAACAACAACAATTATTAAAAAATAAGTCACAGTGTTAACGCCAATTCCTGCATGTATTGATAAAACCACTGTATAACGAGATTAGTGCTTCTGAATAACCGCTGGATTATTAAATTATAACATCTAAAAACGTATTTATTATTTGTATTTGATTTGAAAGGATTAAAAAACAAGGAAGAAGTAAAAGAATAGCTGATTGACACGTGGAGGAAAAACTAAAAGCCGTGGATCACAAAGTTTGATTCTCACTCCTCTCTCTTATCTAAGAAACCCGAACCCTCTCTCCCTGAAGTGTGAATTAAATTAGAGCGAGTGTTTGAACAATGCGCTGCTGCAAAGCGACCGAACCCAAACCGAGCCAACGTGTATTCCGGCTCCGCCAGGCCCGAGTGAAAGGCGAGATCTCGGTGCAAATGAACTCAATTAGAATTTAGATGAGACCTCCGGGGAGAGAGCGTTTCACGAGGGCTCTTATCTGCTAAATAAATTAACAAAAACCAAAACACGCCTCTCCAATTATCTACTAAGTGCCCCAAACGCTTTAACGGACAACTGCGCTCAATAAAAAAAGTGACGGGTAAGAAGTGGATCAGAAATATAAAATGATTAATCTGATTCATCCGGAAACAATTCAGATGTGCAAATTGAAATCAGGGACAGAATTGTTAACGGAAATGACTTTTTTATAGAAGTTATTTCACGTAAAACTTTCTAAAAAGAAGCGTATAAAAGTTTGCGTTAAATAAAAACGCCAGAAAAGTGGAAAAAGTTTACCTTGTTTCACTCCTTCCTCCCTTCCACCCGAACCCTCAGAGCACCAGAGGCGAGAAATATTATCCAGCAGCAGGAAAATCTGCAGGGCACCCGACTGGAGAAGCAGCCGCAGACTTGCTCAAAAACAAACAACACTGCGCAAAGCCAGCGGCATCACGGAGGAGCTCGGGTCAGCAGCGCACGGGCGTCACCGCGTCCTCAGTGCGGCTCGGGCCGTTTTTACAGCCAAACAAATCAAACTCATTTGCTTTCAGGAGGGCTTGTCGTTGTCTGTCAGGCTGTTAAGGTGATTTCTAATGGAGACGGATGGAGATTGATCACCTTCTCTCCGCCCCGCGCCTCTATGAGCGGAGGATCACCTGCGGATCCGCCTCCCGCAGCCAATCAGGGCGCGCGGGCGCGCTGACGGACGGCGCGGGCGGCCTATGAACACGCAGCGGCTTCCGGGGGAGCCCACTCCCACTGACAGGAAGCCCCCTCCGTCCTCCTCCCGGTCCCGAAACCGGTGGAAGCTCAGAGCCGTTTTCAAAAGATGGAAACAAGTCGGAGGCCTGCAGGAGAGTGTGCGTGCAGGGTGCAGGCCTGCGCTCTGCTGTGCGCCAAAGTGCGCAAAGGACTCAACTGGATATAGAGAGGAAGACGTTTATGTATCACCTGCATGCTAGCAGATGCGCCGGGGACATTCTCGGTGGGAACGTGCACACGCGGGACCTGTAGATTTAATTCTAACAGCTGTAAACGACCCCAAACATACGAACACGAGGAGAAAAGATGTTATTTTTCTACTCCTGCAGCTGAAAGGCCGCGGAGCCTCAGCAGCTTTGCGGTTTCCCTCATTTTTAATTTTCTCTTTCATCTTAAAAATGAGCGTGACGAATAAAACCAGGCGAACAGAGGTTAAATTTATCCATTTTAAATTGTATTGCGGTAGCCCTCCCCTAGTCTTTCTCTCTTCACACGCACAAACACACACACACACACTCTCTCTCTCTCACACACACACACACATCTCATGAATATTAATGAGGTTTAATCCCCATTTAGAATTACATTTGAGGATGGTTGACATAAAGAAAGACCTCCAACTCACCGCAGAAAAAGAGCAGAAATGCGTCCGCTGAGTCGCATCCTGCTAGATGTTTATGGTTCCATCAGACGCGTTTATCCAAATGTTTGACCTTTATGGCGGAGAGGGTTGTGTACAAAATAAAAACCCACTTTTCTTTGTGTTTTGAACAAAATATATTTCTGTAAATGAAACAGAAACACTTTTAAAATTGAGAAGAGATGAAATTGATTTGTGCAGAAGGAGTGATAAGTGGAGGTCGACTGGATGCAAACGTCTTCATGAGGGCATTTCGACAGAAAAATAATCGTTGCAGGTTGCAGAGGCCTTCGAGGGTTCCGCCTTTTAAAATAAGGCGGGTAACGCACCTGAACGCACCTTTGTGCGCGAGATGATGTGGGTTTACGCACAAACACATACAAGGGTAAAATCCACCCAAATCAGAGTGAAGGTCAAACACGTTCACGCGCACTTTCTTCTCCTTTGGTGTGTTTTTATTTTTTAATCCTGAAGTTCAGGCAGTCAGAGGGCCGGAGAGCCCCACATACCACCACCTCCTGCTCACGGGCTCCGTTAAATTATGCAAAAAGGCCATTCAACAAATATGGCCTCGCAGCACAAAAGAAGCGCGCTATTCTGACATTTCCAAGCATTTCTTGTTTTTTACCCCGTCCTTCTCTCGATGTGAGACCTCCAGATAAACCCCTGAACAAGTATCAAGTTATCAAGTTGCACCAAGCTTTTGTAATAAGAGCATTTTGTCTAATCCAAAATTGCTGTTGAATTTTCCTTAATGCTGAGCTGCTAAAGCCTGGGATTAGGCGGCGAGGAGAGGAGGGGGAAAAGTTTTGTCCCTTCAGCCGGCAGGATTGGAAGCGCGGAGATCTGCGGGGATGTTGTCGGCGCTTATTAAAGGCATGATGCAGAAACCTCAGAGCTGCTGGAGCCTCCGCGCGCTCAGAGCTTCGCTCCTCAGGTGCGCAGCGCTCTGGACGGCGGCCGACTGGGAGAGAGGCCGAGCAGCACCTGTGAGGGGAGGCCATGAGACATCAAAGCCCGGGAGATAATCCATTCCTCTGGGGGAGCCGAACCGGACGGGACCGAACCTCCGCTTTTTACGCACGCAACGCTCACCGAAAAAAAGGATTTCTGATATTTTATTTGTAATATTTTTTCTGCTTCATCTGGAACATTACTGATGCTGCAGAGGTAAGACAGGACTGTTTCAGCCATTTTATCATTTCTGTCACTCAGAAAACTCCTAAAACATTTTATTTGTCCCCTAGAATTACTTTTGAAATTTTAATTGGACTTTATTTGATTTAATTAATGTCACAAATAACAGAATCAGATAGTTGGGCGCATAAACTGTTTAACCGCTTTAAAAATAACAAAAATCCACCAGGAGTAGCAGGTGACAGGGTGATTTTTTAGGTGACCGCGTTAAACGTCCTTTAGTGTTCTAATACAACCTAAAACAAAAGCGCCTCAGGGGACGTAACGTGCGCAATGTGCGTAAAGTCGGTCCCAAGCAAAGAAGCGAATCAGTGAATTAATTTAGAGTATCGGAAAGTCCGGGAGGACGTCTGCTGTCACAACCGATTTTCCTGCTTTAACCCGGGACGGGAGGCAGCCTGCGGGGTTACCCGCTCCCAGCCTCTTATTCAGGTAGACTGTGTGCGAAATATTTATATTTATTAACACATCTGAATATAAATTAAAAAAACGCTTCTCCGATCCGTTCAGGTCGGCCCAGAAGAGTCAGGACCGGAGAGAGGAAACATCTGCCCGGAACAAAGTGATTTATTTAATCTCCCTCAGAGGAAAAGGCTCAGAGTTAAAGTAAAAACCCTGATTTTCATTAGAAAACACACACACAGATCACAGGGGAGCTGAACACTTTGATACCTGCAGCTTTTAAATAACCTCCGTCTGATTTTTGATCTGGGATCATTCTGGCAGGAAGTGAAACTTAGAAATGAACAAATAAACAATAAATAACAATTTGATTAAAAAACAGTAATACACATCAAAAGACTAAAACCATAAATGTTTAGGAAAGTTAAAGGCTTAAATGACACACACACACACACAGTGGAAATCGTAAGGACTTTATTACTGAAGACTTGGGTTATGACACTGGAATAAATAATCAGATAAATGTTCACACATACAGAACATCTGCACCAGATGTGCAGCTCTAAGAGATGCACATCTGGTGCAGATTTCCACCCCTCCTGGAGACAATAAATATGAACTAAGAGTTTGTTGTGATGGGGGTGGGGTCGTCTACACAAGTAGCTGGTGGGACAAACAAACAGTAATAAATAATAAACAGATTTGTTGTTTCTGACTGCAGGAAGCATTTGGAGGCTGTTAGTGAGGAGAAGGGATGGACATGTACAGCAAGGTGTGTGTTTGCTTTAACGCTTCATTTGGTAAACGGCTTTCAAGCAAGGACATTAAAAACAATAGGAAAGATTTAATGAACAATAATGCAGTTAGAATATTTTACAGGTAAAAAGTGACAGAATGAGGAGACTCGTCGTTATCTTCTCCACATGATGAAGAGGAACCCCCCCAGTGAACCCAGTTTGTGCTGTACCTCAGACTGACTGGTGTCCACATTCAGACCGAGGCTGTGCTGCCCGTGCCATTAAGCACACGTAACAGGTACCGTCTGCAGCCACGTACAGTTCAGATACATTTGGAGTCTTTGCGGTGGACTGGAGCAAACCCCATGCAAAAGGCTTCAAGGATGATAAAAGTGAATGAATCTGATACATTTCTTCAATCGGCTACATTTGTTGTTCTGACCATCACTGAACGACACACTTCTCCTCTTTCTTGGCCATCTTGCCTTTGCTCTGCTCCAGCGTCCTCTCCAGGTGCTCGTCCTCCGCCTCAGCCCTGCGACAACAAAAAGGTCAGAGGTCACCAACGGATTGTGCAGGTAACGCTGCTGGTGCCGTGGCCAGGAGCCGGGCCCTGACTGGTACCGGACCTGAAGGGATGCAGAAGGATCCATGGATAACTTACTCTTTCTCCTGGGCATCCAGATCCCTGACCAGCGCGTCCCGTTTGTTGACCAGTATGACCAGTTCATCCAGCAGCAACTGCTCCCGCTTCTTCTGGGCTTCGGTTTTCTGCCAATCTGTGACACCAGAGACACGAAAACCTTCAGACTCCAAGGATTAAAAAAATAAGTTGTTAAACAAACCAACACAATGGATTCTCCACAAAACCAGAACTCCCAGGGAAGCCATTTTCAAACGACGGACACTCGTGTGTCTTAGGATCTGCTCCCGCTGACCCATCATGGACAAGGTGTGGTAAAAGTTTGTGTGACCCTGACGAAACGAGACAGAGACCTGGTGTGTGAGAGTAATGTGACAAACACACTCCAGTGTGTGTGTGTGTGTAATGCAGTCCCGAGCAAACACACTTGAGTCATATTGTGATGTTAATGTGCAGATCCATGATGCACTGATATGAGGACTCATTTTCCCACAGGACCATCAGACTAGAACCTTTCTCTGGTTGTTTACAAAAAGACCAGAAATCCTGGTGAAGGAGAATCATTTTTGAAACTTTTAAATCCGTTGCATTGGAGACACGATCTGTTAAATAAACAAACAAACAAGCAGGTGAGCCCTGATCCTAGTCTCAGTTCTCCAGGGTCTTTGCAGGAAGGGGCCCCACAGGGCCCCACGGGATCCAGGTGGGACCCTGGTCCAAATCCCCTCAGCCTCCCCCTGGAGGAGGAGAGGGAGGGGGGGGCTACCCACAGGAGAGCACTCACTCCTGGGGCTCAAATATCCGCCTGGCGCCCTCCGCTCCACATTCAGCCAGCACCGGGGCAGCGCTCCTCCTTCCCTGTGCTCCAAAAACTCCAGACAAGCAATATTAATGTCATAAAATTTCTTTACACATTTATTCACAAAAATAAACACACACACACACACACCGCAGAACGAGATCCAACATGATTCCAGAATGGGCCTCACCTCCTCTGCTGGGAACATGCTCCCATAAAGAGCACACACACTTCAGTGTGCAGATTTATTCTGCTGCCTCACAGCTTAAGGAAGGCAGCAAATCTCCAGCTTCTCCTCAGCTCAGTGTGAGAAAGTACACCCCCTCCGCACGCACACGCACACACACACACACACACACACAAACACACAAAAAACAAAAACCTTCGTTTCATCCCAGAGATTCAAACACAGCAGCAACTTTCCCCTCAATCAATATTTAACCCCTGATTGATCAGGAATAAAAGGGGCGTTGTAAAATGTCAGTCCCAAAATAAGAGTGGCTTTATAAAAAATAAATATTCCCCCTCCTCGAGTAAAACTGTGTGTGTGTGTGTGTGTGTGTGTGTGTGTGTGTGTCACACTGCGCCCAGTGTGTTTGTCCTGAAAGGTCTGCTCTCTCTCCATTGGCTCTGCTCGTCACTTTGAAGTCGACTACGAAGCGAAACAAACACAGTCTCAATATTTGGCTCTCTACGTTCCTCTTCTTCCTTTCTTCTTCTCTGTTCTTTCTGAGAAGCAAATCTACTCTGATCTGATCACGAAGGAGTGGAAAACACTCCAAATACGTCCAAACCTGCTACTGAACAGTTTACTTTTCTTTTTTCACAAGGCAAGGCAGCTTTATTTATACAGCACATTTCATACAGAGGCAATTCCGTGTGCTTCCCATTTGTAAGAACAGCAACATTAAAATCAGAAAATACTATTTAATCATTAAAAAGAAACAAAGTTAAAGGGTGCGCAAATACAGCGCACAAGTGGTAATTTAAGACAGAGAAAAGCCAGAAAAGCGAATGAGTCATCAGGTTTACATAACTTGAGATAATTGTCTGACAGGAATTTGTGCCGCTGCATCCGTCACAACTCTCCCACAACCGTCCTCCATAAGCCGTCCAACAAGAAAGAAAGAACTTCCCCACGAAACACTGAGAGGTATTAAATTAACAGAAATATTTCTTCCTCCTCCTTCAGAGCAGCTCTCTGCCTAAAAGCTAAAGTCCTGGTTGATTTGTGAGGGGGAGGGGCTGGCCTGTCAATCACATGTCTCAGAGTCCCGCCCCCCTCATTAGGAAGGTAAACAATAAGGAGAGTCGATGAGAGACGTGACCAGGCAACACCAGAGTGGGGCAGGCTGGGTAACCAGAGACTAGGAACAAACAAATCACCCTGCAGCTGCCCCCCCACCGCACAAGCCCCGCCCCCTCCATCAGAGAGCGAGAGAGAGGTTGAAGACTGAGGAGTGTATGACTCACATTCAGATGAACCTCACCAGTAACCATGTGAGTCTACACAAGGCACGCAAGAATGCCCCCCCCCCCCCCCCCCCATTTATTCAAACTGGTCCAAAGCTGGGAGAGACCGTCCGACATGCAGCTGCCTGCCTCGCTCTCCGTCTCACACCACATGACGACGCCGCGTTAAAGGATCGGAGGCTCCACAAGCCGACAGACCACATTCCCCAGAGACGTTCACACTTACGGACATTTAAACTCGTCCCGTCGTTCCTCTGCTCTCTGCTTCCCATTCTCCAGCTAAAGGCCTCCGAGAGCTGCATTTGGCTCAAGTCCAAGTGGATTCAAGAGACAAAAAGTGTCTCCAGAGGAGAGACAGTCTATGGGCGGGACAGTCTCCATCAAAGTTATTAAAAAGAAAAAACGAGTTGAGTTTACGTCCTTGTCTGTTAGTAAAGCCAACCACGCAGCAAGCTAAAACCATTTTACTGTCACACCAACTAAATAAAAGCCATAAAAGGCTACAAACTGCCTTGTTTTGACTAGCTTCACTGGAGTTTCTACGGGTGTAAAGGCTCTTTTTGCCGTCCATCATGGCGAAGGGGGCGGTCACGTGAGTGGCGTGACGTCACGCGCATAGGGTCAATAGAAACGTTAATATTAGCCGATTGGGACAAACGTGAATGTTAACACCTGCTCAGAAACCAGAATCAGTGCACCTGGAGATGGAATCACAGTCAGTAAAGCGAACTATCACCTTAAACAGACATTATTTAGTCTAACGTGTTAGTCTGGCTGAAGTTAGTCGAGTTGGTACCATCGGACACTCACCATCCAGAAGAGGCGAGACTGTAGAAACGGCCTTCTGATAATATCATCACCATGAAGTAACACATAACCATCAGACAGCGCTGTACGTACCAAATAAGCTGTGCTGCAGCGTTGTTGTCCATTCCTTTGGCCTTTCCTGTTTTCTCTCCGTCTGCTTTACTCTCACCAGCATTAGTTTACTGTTTGTGTTGCTAAATGCTAACTGGAAGAATATGGACGTGAAAGGGCGCATGTCATCACCTGCATGTAAACTAGGATAAAGGCTACCAGCTTTTAAACGCACAGATTGAGACAGTCTGAGGTAACTTTGAGACAAAAGCCTCATGGCCCACGATGAAACTGGGAACCCCTTGTGAGGATCGAGACATTTTGTGAACTTTGTAGGAATAAATTTGGAACATCAAGCATGGAAATGAACAAACGAGAATGTTTTCAGCGCTCAAGAATTAGAGTAGCAGGAAGTACGTGATCAGGAGCCTTCTGACATTTATAAACCGTTCTTTTAGACTGGAAGAACAGGCAGGGACGTCCTCTCTGCGTGGGACACTCATTTCCTGAATTCCCGTAAAGACGCTCGTTATCTTTGGTTTCAGTCAACTTGTAACCCTGAAAGAGTCGGCGACATCATCAAAAGTTGCCCACGTGATAGGATTGCATAGTGCACCTAATCAATCAGGGTCTGAAACGCACCGCCCCGATGTGTTACAAAGCTCAAATAGATTTACAAACGATGTGTGTGTGTGTGTGTGTAGAGGGATAAGCTCCTGCATAGGATTACATATTGATTTTAAACATATAAAAAAGGCTTATCATATCAAACCGTAGCAGGAAAAACTCAGGGACCCGGTTATGCATAAATCCCTTTTAGACAGCGGCAGGGCGTCCACTTTACACACACACACACACAGAGTTGTGTCTTAGCTCGCATAAGGAGCCCATGTGTGTGTGAGTGTGTGTGCGTGTGTGTGTGTGTGTGTGTGTGTGTGTGTGTGTGTGTGTGTGTGTGTGTGTGTGTGTGTGCGTGTGCGTGTGTGTGTGCAGGCATAGGTGTGACTCGGTAAGCAGATAAAGAGGGCATATGGATGAACTCAGCAGCAGGGAGACGAGAGCGTGGCACTCATGGCAGCATGGTCATCACTGGGCATGCTCACCATGCAGGAGTTTAGTTTTAAATGATGATCATGATTCTTCTTCTATATAAATTGGTGGATGTCAGTAATCTACACCAGGATCTAACTGCTGTGTGAAATTCCACTTTCCAAAGTGTCTCTAAACATTTGCTCATTTCCTTGCCTTAGTGCTTTAAGTTCTTTCAAAATAGTTAAAATAGCTGTTTCAAACCTCAAAAAGTGGTAAATTTATTCTCTGAAATGCAAAGAAATATATTTTATTTGTTTCTTTTATCACTAAAATAATGACATCAAAGTGATTTTGGTAAAACCTTCTAATGTAAAAATCTGCAGATAAAAGGCATCTTTATTCGTAATGAAGTTAACGTTAAATGTTCATAATGGTGCTGCTATGATTAATTCTTACAGAATCAGCTGTTCCACTGTGACCTGCACTTTATTTTAGAGTCATTCAGGGGAAGAGAGCTGTGTTTGACTGAGAGCAGGTATATATTTTTCTCAGCAGGGTGTGTGTGTGGGCAGGTGTATCACAGATGTGTTTTTCTCTCACCTTCTCCCATCGCTCTCTGTGTCTGTGTCACTGACCGACCGACCAAATCAACAATTACTCGCCCTCCCGACCATTGCTCAATAGACCCTCCCAAGCACCAAATAAAAGCCACACACACACACACACACACACCTGTGAGATGACAACACACACAGATCCTGCCAGCAGCTCAGGACTATCTGAGGCTGCAGCAGGGAGGACGAGCCTGTGAATGTTAAGTGTCTCCCTCAGGGAGACATGATAAGTTTAGTCAGCTGCAAACCCAACAAGTCCACATGAAGGCAGAGGACGGCGGTGACACAGCACACACCACCTCCTCTCCTCAGCTCACACACCATCTCTGCTCTCACACAAGCAGACATACCCTACACATGACACAAAAAGCATCACAGCAACACAAAACCATTTAAATGAGGACTGGAGATACAAACTAAAACATACAGCAGGAGAAAAGTTCAGAAAACACAGAATTCCTGTTAGGAACACACATCGACCCCAACTACCATGCTGCCTGACACGCCTCCCCTCCCGCTAATTACAATTGATTTATGATGGAGCAGGTAGCTTATCAGGTGGCTGGTGAAATTACAATGGCTGTCTGCTGGCTGGGAGGAGGGTGTGTTTGTGGTCAATGTCGAATAGTAAAATCAATTAGCATTGATTGGCAAAAGGTTCATTTTCCCCACAGAAGATGCAGTCGAAGGGGATTAAAGTTCCCTCTGACGACTCCGTGGTGACACAATGGCTGCTATTCTGGCTGCAGTCTGGTTAAACAGGCTTCTAATAATAAAAAACCTTTCGTTTTTATTGCACAAACACTCGCTCTATGCAGCCGTGGCTGGATTTCAAATCAGGCCTCGGCTAGTCGGGTCTGGCTGGGAAACAGATAGCATTGATCAAGTATCAGAGGGTGAAATCCCTGGAATCTTAATCCTCATCAAGAAGCAGATGCAGAATTCAAATAGTTCTGCTTTGGGCCCTCATTGGAGGCGGATCGAGAGGCAACAACAAAAACAAACCAAATAAATAAACAAACAAAACTGTTAAATCTACATCTGATGCGGTTTGTTTCCTTTAGTCTTCAACTCTGCAGGAACATCTGGTAAAATCGTTTTGTTTACGACAGAAAGACAAAAAAATAAAAACATCTTCTCACCCTCGATGGCCAGCATGGCCCTCAGCTCTCTGCTCAGTAGCTCGAATCGTCTCTCCAGATCATGTTCCTTCTCCCTGTGGCAAGTTAGACACACACACACACACACACACACACACACACACACACACACACACACACACACACACACACACACACACACACACACACACACACATAAAGTTCATCAATATGTTAATGACTAAATCATTAAGTACTTAAAGAAACCTGCAATAAACATCGATTCAGCCACTGGCCTGAACCTTCTCCTGCTTCACAATAATCTACTGCACATAACTGATACTCATAGAGCACAGCCCTGGGTGTGTGTGAGACAATAAACAGAGTTAAAGGAAAAGGGCTGAAAATGTGTGTGTGTGTGTGTGTGTGTGTGTGTGTGTGTGTGTGCAGACCAAATTGAATTCTTTCCTTTTTCAGCTGTATTAAAAAATGAGCTAATTTGCTCTCTAATAGAATTTGTCCTTCACAGATGCCTTTTCTCCTCGCCCTCCGTAAAGAGAGAACAGAGAGGCTAATAATCAGCCCTTCTGTCAATTGGCCACTTTAAAAGCCTCCCCTTTCCCACGATATAATGTGATTATGAATACTTCAATCTCCTCGCCACTCGCACTCTTTGAAATCCCACAAATGAAAAAAAAACTATAATATGACAGTGTGTGTGTGTGTGTGTGTGTGTGTCTCCACCTGTCACAGCTGACCACATACAAAAAGACTAGAGAGATAGAGCAGCAATTGCCACATTTCTATTGATTTCATATCCCCTCTGCATGTAAATCAATGAGGAGAGAGAAGGGTGTGTGTGAACACTTCAATAGTGGGTGGGTGGGGTGGGGGTGGGGCACACACATTTCCAGGTGTTCAGATCAGGAAGGAGTCAAGTTCCGCCTCCAGTTGGTCAAATGAAACATTCAAAGTGTTTTGCGATTATTTTAAAAAAAGTGTTAACTACGTTTATGAGTTGTGTTTGTTAAAAGAGTTTAAAAGTGTTTTAAAAGCTTTAACAGATGTCATCAGATGGGTACGTACAGCAGAGAGAGCTGGTTCTGTCTCCTAATGAGGGCGTTCTTCTTATTGACCAGCATGAACCACTCCTGCATCATGGCCTCCTCCTCCTCCTTGTTGTTGCCTGAAAAATAAAAACAAACACATCTTGAAAGGCACCAGTCACGCAAATGCAGCTGATATGAAAAAGCAGATAGAGTCACTGCAGCGTCAGCACGACGCGCTCCTCGTGTAAACATTCACACACTCCACACCGCGTCTTCACAACGTCAATACGGCTTCAACAGGGGCGGGATTAGCTTGCCGATTACCGTCGAGCGTCTTTACAGAGCGAAGCCTCACACTGTAGGGCAAAAGCATATCCCACCAATCACTCAGCGGGCCTTCAAACAGCCCTCTTCCTCTTGGTGTAATACCTGCTCAGCATAGTGAGCTAGATGCATGGCTAATGTAAGCTCAGCCCACGCCTGGGGCTAAAGCTCCATGCACTAACTTGCTTACAGGCTGCAGCAGGATGCAAACAGCTGATAATGACGAGGCACATCCACAGCAGTCAAGCCTTTGTTGTCTGACGTGATCTTTTCTAAAAGTTTATGAGATGGAGCAGGGTTAAAGAAGAAGTCTGAAGCTGGTTTATTTAGGAGTAAAATAGACTGAATCATCCTAGATGTATTTATTATTTAGCCCATTATCTTTTCAGCCTCATATTTAACAAAACTGTAAATACAGTTGATTTATTCCAGCTGTGGTTCAGACATTTAGTGTGGGAATAGATTTTCCTGTGATCAGATCAATCAGCTGTTGGCTCCGCGACACTTAAGAGTCAGTGTAAACAGCGGCGGCAGCATTAATCTGACAAAAGGATGGATGAAAGGAGGCGTTTTAGGGCTTATGGTATTATCTCTCCTCAGTCTCTTTTATTTCTGTACAGGATGGTTCAGCGTCAGTCATCCTGACACGGTTAACAATTCAAAATAAATAAGATTTTAAATCAGAACTTAATAGTTCAAAGTAAAATTTAACCCTTTTTTAAAGTTAACCCTGCAGCTTTTATGAAATTTTAACCAATTTACTTCATTCTAATTTCAATCTGATGCTTTCATGACAAAACCAGCCCAGGACCTCATGAAGACTTTCGGTTAAACCAAGTATTTATTTTTGCTGTCTCCCGCCACAGTCGCACGTTGCCGAGCGAGCAGCAGGAGTATGGGACCGCGGCGTTACTGATGACAAAAGGCAGAAACGTGGATTTGTGCGCATGTGGACACCGGCGAGCGTGTGGACATTTGTGATACTCCAAGCCGGCAGATGTATGTAATTTCATTTAAGAGGAGGGGGGAGGAAACGAGCGAATGAAAGGAAGCTTCAGGATTTAAGCTGAATCGGGGGCTCGTGGATTACTGTAGTCAACTTTGAAATGGACGACACTCGGAGGGGGGATAAAGCCTGCGCTGACAGGTCATTGTGCTGCCTCCAAGTCAAATAAAACAAGCAAATAATAATGGCAAATATTAAGCTCCTGTGACATTGTGGCGAGGCGGGCTGGAAGACGAGGGGGATTATAAAGCTATATCCCCCACCGATAGCCAGACAGCAGCCACGTTTCCTGAAAAGCAGGAAGGGAGGGAGAGGAGGAGGCAGAGAGGTCAGAGGAAAGGTGGGATAAAGGAGACAAAGAAGGAGAAAAGGAGGTGAGGAAGAGGTAAAAGGAAGGAGGAGTGGATGGGTGAGGAGAGAGGACAGCTGCTCAGCATCCTTCAGGATTGAAGTCTGACCTCCTGATGCCACCTGACTCTTAGAGACAGAGCTCTATTTCCTGTTTGAGCCTCAACTTTATGCTAACGTGTTTGTAAAAGATGAATTAGTAAAGTAAATGTTTCTGATCTCTTCCATTACTGAAAAGCAATCATTGATTACATAATAAGAGATTGAGATTGATAATAAGAGTAAAAACCTGAATGTTTTTCACAACCAGAAACTGGAGTGAGCTCTTCTATATGCTTCCATATGCTCCAAACAGGAAAACTGCTGAATGTTGTTTCGTATGAAGACAAACGGGGTAAATATCCCTGGCAAGCAGCGCTGACTCTGTCTGTGAATCCAGCCTTTGGCTCTGAGACACTGTGGATCCATGCTGGCTCTCTGGGGACCATCTTGGATCAAAGCATCTGCCAGCTTGGCAGGTGGCATCCAGAGTCTTGCTGCTCGCCTCATACGCCACTCCTCAGCGCTCAACACGGAGCAGGAGCGGGCCAAACCCGGCCCAGGCCGAAGTATGAAAACTGGCACCGATGCCATGTTTGATCAGAACATCAAAGCCTGAGAGGAACGCGCCTGATGGAGACAAACGGGCTTTCCTCACCTACAGAAAACTCTATCACCTCTAATATCGCCTTTAGTGTCCGCTGCCCGTGTGGGGAGGAACACAGAAGATAGGATCATCTGAGACACACACACACGGACCTGAGATACAACTGATAGACATATTCCAACAACCCCGCTGTCTGATTGCCTCTTCTCTTGTTTCACTCCGTCCCACAAAACAAGATAAGATGATACAAACGGAATGGGTGGAGGGAGAAGGCTGGTGGATCGCCACCAGTTAAAATCCATCTGAGACATAGTTAAGGAGAAGCAAAGAGTCCACAGGGAGCCTCTGTAGCCAAATTAGAGTGAGACAGCCATCACCCCGAGGTGGTCAGTCTGCTCTTCACATTCAGCGGGTTAATAATTATTATGTTTACTAATTTATTCAATGTTTTTTTTAGCAATGAGATGTTAAAATGCTTGGCTCTGATGCCATTTGCATCCAATGCAGGCAGGAATTGGTGCCTAAGTATGACAAATAACCAATTTTGATCTGTTTTAAAGGTGATTAAATGTAAAACTGGAGATCTAACTGATCGCTTTATTTGCTTAAATATGATGAATTCCATTAACAGGATGAAATGCTGCATCTGTTTCATGCCTGGAACGTCGTCCCTTGAAGGACGGATCTTGGATAACAGATGCAAATGAAAGGAAACAGAAAGAGAAACGCATTAAAAGCTGTGATCACAGCACGTTCATCTCATTTCTTATCCCACCATTTTGTCATTTAATCCAATAGCTGCTAATCCAATTTGTGTATCGGACATGTATAAAAGAGGGGAGGAGGAGGGGAGGAGGAGAACGACTAGGGGGAGGGAAAGGGAGGAGATAAAGTCGAACTTGTCTCGTGGGTTGGAGTCACTTTTTTAGTTGTAGTTTATTTAAGGCTCGAGAGGCGCGTGAGTCTCCCCCATCGCTCTCTCCATCCCAGCGTTGGATATCAGCGGGAGATCAGGGAAGATGAAAGCCAAACTCGCATAAAAGGAAACGAGAAAAGAAGGAATAAAAAGAACAGGATGAACATTGTTTCCTGTGATTAGGTAAGAGCTCGTTAAAAGGCTGCACTGATGTGAATATGCATGATGGGCCGCTCTAATCAGAGGGTGTGTGTGTGTGTGTGTGTTAGCAGCCTGCTGAAGTCTTGATTTAATTAATGTGAGTAGAAGAGTCTCTTGTTAAGGTTAGGGAGCTCTCAGATTCAGCCTCAGTCATAAAACAAGTTCAAGTAAATCTGATTTAACAGTTTGACACCATTTTTCTCATCATCCTTCTTCATGTCACACTTCAAAAGCTTTTGCTCAGGCAAAGCGTCGCTGCGATCCAAAACCCACGAAGTACAAATCAAACCTTCCATTCTAGTCTTTAAATGCACATGTGATTTCCTCTGCTCTCTCCTATTCTCCTCTGCTCTCTACTCAAGTGCTCCTGAGGGCTTTTTTCCTCCATGGAGTCTTGGACGAGGCCTTTTTAGCCGCCCTCAATGGCACAATGGTCCTAGAGTATAGAGCAGATTCCTGCTTTATTGAACCTGTGTATAATGTCTGCTGAATGGAACACATTAACCGATTCATGGTCTCACCTCTTTCCTTCTTCCTCCCCCCAGACAGAAAAAGAAGAAAAGTAAAATTGAGAAAAAGACTGAGAGAAAGCCTCCTCTCACAGTTTGGTATAATGCGTGCCTTTTCCACTGGTGTCATCTGTCAACCACTGCTTGCTTTGCGACTCACAAAAGAGGTGAAGAAAGAGAGAGAGGGAGGTTTGGTGCAAATTAATAACGTTTTAAGATTCTGCTAAACCTACTCAAAGGTGTACAAACAGCTCTGATACTATTATAAATGATCATAAGTTAAATTAGATGAGTGATCAACTAGAATGGCAAAAAACAACTGAAAACCAAAACATCAATGCCTCACAACTGCAAACATCAAAATATAAAACTGTCACTTGAACGCGTCACAAAGATGACATATAATTGCAGACTACAACCTACAGCTGACAAGAAATAAACCTCCAGCACACAAGGGGGCGCTAGTGCAATGAACAACTGAATCAAATAGACAGATTTGGGCATATTTGTGAACATTTTAAAGTGTGTAACTTTATACAATCAGTCTCTGACCAAATGAACAGCTACAAGGCTATTGTTTGATTACCGTCATCTTAAAACAGATGCAATCTCTAAAATTTCAAAACAATCCATGCTACCTTTATCTTCTAAAATGCTACAACTGCATTGTTGTTTTCATTCTTCCATTATTGACATGGGATTATATGGTAACTTACCATCTAAAATACAAAAAAAAGGACACAATGTCAAATAAAAATGGTAGAGTAGGGAGCATGGATAATTACAGGCCTATTGCTCTGGCAAGCATTGTGTCAAAGGTTCTGGAAAAAGTATTGCTCTGTAGGCTAAAGAATTTCACCTATTCTACTGAAAACCAGTTTGGATTCAAACCAAAGCACTGCAAAGGTTTATGCATATTTGCTTTAAAAGAAATAATCAGAACGTTTAAAAGAGGTAACTCTTCTGCATGCTTTATTGATGCTTCTAAAGCATTTGATCGAGTCAACCATCTAAAGCTATTTATTAAAATGCATCAGTGAGAGGTACATAAATATGTTCTGAGAATCCTAGCCTACTGGTATGCTCATCAGGACATGCAGGTGAGGTGGAGCGGTAGTTTCTCTGCTTCTTTTGATGCTACCAAATGGGGTAAAGCAAGGAGCGGTTCTCTCTCCTGTGCTCTTCAGTCTGTATGATGAACTATCAGTGAAGTTAAATGTCAGAACTGGCTGTATGATTGGTTCAACCCTAGTCAATCATCTTATGTATGCTGATGATCTTGTCAATCTATTAGTGTGGGGCTACAGAAACTCTTAGATATTTGTTCGGAATATGGACTGGATTATGACATCAATTATAATCCTAGCAAGAGTGTCATTATGACTTGCAGAACAAAGGAAGATAAAGGTTTGCAGTTTCTCCAGTTCACATTGTGTGGTAAAACCTTGGCAGTGAGTGGCAATTACAAATATTTGGGGCATTTAATTTGCAATGACTTGGCTGACGATGATGATAATGATTGACTGTGCCGTAGCATGTACGCACAGGCCAATATGCTAATTAGTAGGTTCAGTGTGTGCTCTAATGTAGTGAAAAAGATACTATTTTAAGCATACAGCATACCTGTGGTCCTGCTACAAACAATCAAGTCTTCGGCAACTTAATGTAGCCAATAATGATTGTCTAAGAATTTTACTAAAGAGACCTCGTTGGGAAAGTGCAATCTACTTGATTTTCTATGGGATAAATACATTTCATGCAATGTGGAGGATTCTGATGTATAGGTCTATCTGTCGGCTAAACCAATATGACAATATAATCATTAAGTGCCTGACTAATGTCAACTGTAGCACTATCCGTTTTCAGTCACAATTGTGGCATCACTGTATTGCAGTCTGCTTTGAATTATTTGTCTTCGTTTCCTTTTTCTTAACTTTTTAAAAAATTCTTATTTATTGCTATTGTTATAGTGTACTTTGGATCCAGAGTCTGTTAATGAAGCTGATTGAATTAAGAACAGCTCTATACCAGGGTGCAAAAGATTATAAAATAGTTTTAATTCAAGAACCCTGTGTCTGAACTAGCTGTTAGCTTCTAACCATTTGGGCAGATATCCACAATGGTAATGCATTAATTATCAACACTGTTTGCACATTAACCCATTTTAAATTGGCCAAAACGTCCCTTTATTGTCACACAAAGCTAGCCTTTTAAACCATTATCCATTGGTTTTTCACTTCTTTAATCCATGTGGTCATTTTCATGTAATGAAGGCTACTTGTTTTAGAATAAAATACGATGTGCATCTAAAAAAACTGGGATATTGTAAAGTTCAGCTGTATTTGACACTCATTATGGCTTATACACAACAAATTCAGTCTCTGAATATTACATTAGATCAATAAGAAAGGATGTTTTAAACAGAAATGTAAACATGAAGAGCTCTAAAAGGTTGTGATAGACGTCAGCACTGATTATGGACTTCCGAGACACAGTGGACTAATACCTGTAGAAGACATTACTGACTTCACTCTGGACTTCAGCTACATGGATTCTGTGTCTCTCCACTCTTCCTCCAATCTTTGGCACTTTGATTTCTAAATGACCGACAGACCTCATTTAATCTGAAAAGACGCCTCCGGACCACTGAGCATCGGTCTTTAATCGCCCAAAGAAGCTCTGATTGCATTACTTCGTTCTTTAACACACCAAAATAGGTGTTTTGACGTTGTTTTGATGACGTTTTGGCTAAAGCCCGATTTATGCTTCTCCGTCTGCGTCAGTGCGGAGACACGCAACGCCATTATCCGTCCTTGCGTAGGGCTCCGGCAGGCACGCAAGTACGTACGGAGTCGAGCCCACTTTTTTAAACATCCGTCGAACGAGACGGATTACGCAAGCTTGTGATTGGTCAGGACGCCGCTGTTGTTTACAGCGCCGCCATTGCAAAGAGAGCCGAGGATAACAAGCGGCAGACACGGAGAAGCTTGAAGAATACCTCGCGAAAAAACTCTAAAAATATGAACGTTTAATTCTCCCGTGACTGGAGGAGTGAAAAGATGTGCAGCAAGCGTTTTATTTGTGGATGGAAATGACAGGAAACGTGGGTTTAGAGGTGGGGAGCGCATGAAGCGGTGGGAGAATGAGAGACAAATATGTCCGTGTTAAAAGTCTCTTATATACACAAAAAACACAATATAAACACACGATCTTGGACAGATACATGACAGGATACCACAGAACAGCGCTACGCCCTCTGTGGTCCTGCCGGGGAATTGCTTTGCAACACTCCAGGAGACGGAGAAGTAAAAGAGCAAAACGCTTCCGTCAATCCGTGCGTGTCTGTCCCTTGCGGAGCTGACGGAGAAGCATAAACCAGGCTTAACACTGCAGCCGTCCTCAGAGCTTCGCCACTGTTGGCAGCATCACTTCCTTCTCCGTTCATCGTTAGCGAAACAAGGTAAAAACAACTGTTGCTGTGTTGAAAAAGAACCAAAGAATGCAGTTGGATGAAACACACAGAATTAACATGCAAAAGATCTTCAAAGAAGCTCTGGTTCAAGAGTAGCTTGACATGAGGAACGTGACATTTGTAGCCTGTGTGTAGAAGCTCTTGATCCTCTGACTCCAGCCTTAGTCCACTTCTGGTAAGGCTCCTCCAGATTCCTGAATGCATTTAGCTTGACAGTGCTCTCAAGGATGCAGTTCTCCCTGTTGATGATGTCCTACCCCACTTTGTCCTTCCACTAACCTTTCTATGACCATGCTTGGATGCAGCACTCTGGGAACAAGCAGCTCCTTTAGCAATGACCTTCAGTGGCTTCCCCTCCTTGTGAACAAACAGTGTCACTGACGGCCTTCTGGACGTCTGTTCGGCCAGCAGCCATGATTGTGAGTCCTCCTGACCCAGATTGAGACCATTTAGAGGCTCGGGAAACTTTTGCAGGTGTTTGGAGTCAATTAGCTGAATAAATCGACACCATGGAGTTTCTAATATTAAACTTTTGACAATATTCAAATTTTCTGAAATGCTGAATGTTGGGTTTTAATCATCAAAACGATAAGGGCGTTAATATATAAATTAATATAATGTATGACTCACTTTCTGAAATGAGTGACAAAACCACTGAGCCCATTCATATTCTAATTGTTTATAGATTTTACTGTTTAAGAGACTGAATCTGATCTGATGTGTTCTGTGTTGTTATAAATGTAGCACGTTTAGGGATGCGTGTTCCTGTTTCAGTAGGAAAACTACTGGGGGCTTAATGTATGTGGGCTTTGTTTGCCAATATTTTTATAATGTATTTTTAAAGCTGAAATATTTAGCATTTTGTGATATTAGTTGTGTTTGTAGTCCAACTTATGAGTAAAACTATCTGTTTCTGTACCAGCTGTGATAATGAGGTAACAGACTCAGAAAGGTCCATTTTCTAGGTTCCTGTTTGAACATCCAACAGAGGGTTTGTTCAGCTAATAGATTTCCTGTGACACCTTCTCTTTCCAACAGCCTGTGGACAGACACACACACGCACGCACGCATGCACACACACACACCTCTGAGCAAACACTGCGAACCTGAAGGCTAACGGTAGATCAACCTCCAGACACCTCAGAGGTTAAAAAGAGTCTAGAGATGAAATGATCACATTAGACATCTTTACTTTGGACCCGCTCAAACAGAGGCACACATCTTCTCCTCCTAAGAGATGAGAGTGTTTGTACAAGATCCGTCTTCTTATTGAGGTGATGCAAATATTTAATCAAACTTGTGCTGTGAAACTTCAGTGTTTAAACATCAATTACAATAAAACAAATCTACCTCCTGGGATGTTTTTTATTTGTGCTAAAGAAGCAGTCATGCTGTGAAAATCACACATTTACTCCTCTCTCTGCTCCCTCCCTTCCTCTCTCATGCCATCAAATTGTGTTTTTTTTTGTTGCCACAAATCAATAAACATTATCAGAGAGAGGCAGACTACGGACCACAGCCAGGGTGAGAAGGCCAGGGAAGACAACACAAAGAGACACACAAACATGCAGAAACCACACGAAGCTGCGTGTAATGAGGGCAGAACTCATACATCTATAGTAGAGAACAGCAGCAGAGAAGTATTTGACAGGCTGTACTCAATGTCAATTAAAAAAGAACAGGGAGTGTAAAGTGGACAGCCTCCCGCACACATTAGGCTCCATGCCTGTCAGCTTGCTTTAGCTTTAGCGTCACAAACCTCTGCTCCCTCCGACGCGCCACACAAACCATTTAACTGAGCTCTAAATAAGATGATTTTCAACCTGTCCCCACTTAGCTCGGGGCTGGAAAAGAGAAAATCAAGGGGCTTGTCATACCCCGTTTCTCAATTACCTTCCTCATTATTGTCACCCGTGTTCATTACTTCTATTATCATCCGTGTTTTTGTCGCACCCCCTCTTTAGGCTGTTGAACGAAGAAAGGCAGGAAAGCGCCAGAATCGAGAGCTTTCTGCAAGGCCAGAGCACTTCAGGTAATTAATATAGCAAGAGGGGGCAGGCGAGGGGATGTGTGGTTGTGTGTGTTTTAGCTGAAATGCCTGATTGGGGAGCTCACCTGCCGATACCCCCTAAAAGGTATTTCATTAGCCAACCTTTTACCATAGAAGCAGAGCAACAAAGCCTCAGCTACGCCTGTCTCCACTCCAGCTCGACAGAGCCCTCCAGGATGTCTGTAGCTGTGTGAGGGGAGAGGAAACAGGAGTAGAGGAGAGGAGAGGAGAGGCTATTCCTGTTCATAATCTCATGACAAAAGGCAAAAAGGCATCATCCTATTACCAGCATGATCTTCACCAGCTCGTGTTAGCTGCTTTCCACAGGGGGCTCTCTTTATTATTAAGGTGAGTGGGTGAGAGGGTGGGTATGAGAAGGGAGAGACCCCATGCTAAGGTCCTGTTTGGAGGCTTTTTTTTTCTGTTTTACAGAATAAAAGCCTTTACTTTTGGTTTCAGATCGTGCTACAACACCAACAGGGAGAGATTCAAAATGATAACCTGGAAAACTCTACACCCGTTTGGATCTGGTTCCATTTTAATTCCCCCCAACTCCCATCGCTCCTGGATGAAGGATGTGCCTTGGAAATGACAATACTGAGTTTTTAAAACCAAGTCCTGGTGGATGACATCATTGCCACAAATAACATCTGTATTTCTGAGTACAAGCCTAAATAAATTCTTTAGAAACTAAATGTGAAATCCTTTAAATGTGTATTTTTCTGGTACGTAGTGAGTGGCAGTGTGAGAAACAAACTAAGTGAAAGAGGAGAATTTAGTCTGTTTTGTCTTGAGCTCAGTGGGGGGGGGGGGGGGGGGTTGTGTCTATTGCCTCGGGTTACCCAGGGGGATTGTGGGAAATTAAAACAAACGGGGCCGTGTGGTGATTACAAAGCGCTGGTTTGACCATTTTAATGTTAAAACTTTTATTCTACAAATGTGGGCACTTTTTGGAAGCTGGTAAAAGAATGAAGATTATGACTTTATCAGGAAGCACACATCGACGCATAAGGACACACTGGAGGCCAAATTCTGTAGAAGAGCTTTAAATCCTGTCCTAAATAAAAGTCTGATTTACATGAACGTTTCAAAGCATCCCCATCCTCCAGGTCATCTGGAAACAGGTTCATTCTAACAAGAACAAACTTTATCATCTGTGAAGCTGAAAATATGAAACTGTGAGACAAAGAGAACTTTGACAGACTTTTGAAGGTCTATCAGACGTACAGATACTCAAGTGATGCACTCCTCCTGACTCATCCCCCACCTCGAATTCCCATTTTCATCATCAATGTCCTCCTTTCTCCTCCATAGAGCCCGGTAAAAAGCCTGCGATGACCTGGGTGTGTAGCTTATTAACCTCTCCATCAGTTCTTATCAGCCAATGAATAGTGTAATCATCAGCTCCTCCTCCTGAATCTTATGGAGAGGAATTTCTCACCTCGTCAGGAATATATTTCAATTCAAACACTAACCAATTGAGGTGGACACACACACACACACACACACACACACACACACACACACACACACACACACACACACACACACACACACACACACACAGAGAGAGAGGACATGAGTGCAAACATTTTGTGGGTGCTATGACTGGCACGGGCCAGATGTTGGTGAAGGGATCCACAACGGAAAAACACAGAAGTAGTGTGTGTGTGTGTGTGTGTGTATGAGAGAGAGGGCCAGAATAAATTAATGCCTGATTTCTCCTCTTGCTTTGATGGCATTAAGAACCCTCTTCTTCTCAATGTGCCGCGTTAAATGCTTTTCTCTCTTTTTCCACCCGTTTCTCCCTCTTTTTTGACAAGCGAGGCCACCCAGCAGAAAGCAACTGATGCAAAACGCCAGAGTAATCCCCCTCCTCTCCATCCGCCACCACCACCCCTCCCGCTATCTTTAGTCTTTGACACAGAAGCCATTATCTGTGGGATTTAGTTAAACCAAACCTTCATGTATTTGTTAGGCCTTAGGTTCGTTTTCTCTTCTGACTGCTCTGCTTGAGTATGGCTGAGCTGGGAGGAGACCATGGGGTAACGTCATCACAACAGATTTCTCGTGAAGAGATGGTTGTTGGTTGTTTTTTTTACTGCTGCAGAATCATTAAATGTTCTTCAGCCCAGACAACATTTTTCTGTGTATTTTGATTATGTCATTAATGCAAACACTCTAAAATACATGAACTAGACATAAACTACAAACCAGCCATCTTTTCTAACACTGGTGCATTGTACTTCCTGGATTTCATCCCTACCAACATCCACCGAATCACAATTTTTACTCCCAGATAAAACAGGTGAAGGCCTGGGTGGCTAACCTAGGGTTATTACAGCTCCCTGAGAGTGTGTTTACACACACAGTGAGGTGTGAACTGTTTGAGAAGCTTAGAGAGGTGGAGAAACATGAGATGATTTAGAGCTAGTGTAAATTTGGGACCTGTTGACGGTGTTAATTGGGACAGCTTGGCAAACACAAACAGTTTTAATCTCTGGGGATTCAGATCTGAGCTAAAGTCTCCCCATCTGTGAGATACAGACTCAAAAAAAGCGCTAGCACATGTCAGAATGTTTAAAAACATATAAATAAAGATGTCACATATGAATAAAACCCAGAACGTTTACATAAAAACTGATGCTATCCAAACATTAGCATTAAAACCAAGCTAACAAGGTTTAAGGCTGTCATGTAGATTTAATTCAGGTTCAACTTGGGTCAAACGTCTTATGTGGTAATTATGTTTATTAGCTAAGAAAAGAGCGGACATTTCTGACTAAAAGTTTCAGAGATAACCCCCTCTCAGCCCGACAGACATATGCTTCAAATAGCTCCACCTGCCCCATTAGCAAAGGGAGGGAAGAATGTGTGTGTGTGTGTGTGTGTGTGTGTGTGTGTGTGTGTGTGTGTGTGTGTGTGTGTGTGTGTTCGACGCCCACCCCTGGGGCAGATGTTAGAACAAATTTGAGCGGTGTCATGTTACACGCCTTGTGACAAGAGGCCGAGGGGAGGTGAACGATGAATTTACTTAATGAATTAATCTGCAGACTGGTAATGGCTCTGCTAACAACATTAGTCATCCTCCTCAGATCTCTGAGCTGGTAGCCCTCCCCTCTCTTCTACCAAATATCATCACTACGTTCCTCTCTGTTCTCTGGGAAATCTGCCCCCATATCATTCAAATTAATAATTTGTAAATGTGACAAATAAATCCTTTCACTACCTGGAATGTTGTTACGCTACAACTGACACAAACAGCAGGCCGACAAAGCCTCTGGCCTCTAGTCTGAGCGTCGATTCAATACACAGATGCAAAAGTGTTCTGGTTAAATAGACATTTAAATGGTAATGCACTGGGAAAGACAGCTGTTGGTATTTGTAGCCTGGAGTACTCATTACAATGGGAAATGGAACAGCGTGTGTGTGTGAGAGAGTGTGTGTGTGTGTGTATGTGGCGGGGGTGCTGACAACGGTAGCAAGGCGAGGAGCTGTGTTAGCACGTGAATGGTGTAATTACTGGCCAAACCTCTGTCATTAACCTGTATTGTTGAGTGCCACCACATCTGTTACCATAAGAAAGCCTTGATTAATTGACTGCACAGGATGAAATTCAATTAAGTGCTTTGACTGCAGTTTGTAAATTAAATAATAATCAACTGTATAAAAGAGCCAAAACAAACCAAATACTAACAGATTCTGAGGTACAATAAAGTTTTTAACTCTGGCAAATGCAAAGAGAAATCAAGTTTAGAGCAAAGCACTAAGAAAAACAAAAAGCTCTAAATAATAAGTTTAAGGTCTGCTGCCTAGTAGAGTTTAAAAGTAAACACTGTTTTGGTCCAATCAAATGACCTTATGCGTGATAGGTTAGCACTACTCCTGAAGCAACATGTCTCAAGGAAACTATAGTAAAAGTCTACCACTTAGATAAGAGTTTTCATTAGAATCTGTCCATTGGTGTCTTTCAGTCTTTGATAACAGACAGGTAACCCCCCCCCACCACCACCACCACCACCACCACACACACACACACTTGGTTTTCTTCTAATATGATGCAAACCTATTGGGCAAATTATAAATCTGTTAAGGTTTTGTCAGGTGAAGTTAATTGTGCACCGCTTTATGGATTGCTGCAGCTGAGGATGCATACATGTGTGTTTTCTGCAGCTGCTTCTCACTGATGATGTGTTTGGCAGCTTGTAGCGTGCTTTGGAGCGGCTGCTGCATGGGGTCTTGAACAGAGGGGGCGGCTGATGAAAGCATTGGCGGGATGCTCCAATAAAGAGAAGATTATCATAAGCGGCCATTGTCCACTTCTTTCCAGCGGCCCCCCAACCCCTTTCCCTATTGACTCCCCCATCGCCTGAAAATGTTAATCGGCACTATCGTTGGCGAGCGGGGAAAAAATGGGGCTCCTGGCCTTGCAAGTGCAACTCTGAATGCTTTTAGTGAGCCTAAAAAAGAAGTGACTGAATAACCAGATGAAAAGAGAAAAAGACAGCCGTAACGCGATATCAAAGATAAAATTACAGGAAAATAGGAAATATCTTACTTCACAAACACATTTAACTTGCAGGTTTAAGCTGTGGCAAGTAGCCCCCACCCCCCCGATAAACCACCTCTCTCCCTCCCGTTGACTCCATCCACCCCGCTCGTTTTATCTGAAGATTCCCAGACAATGCCTAGAGGATCCCGTTCCTTAATCTTCCTAAAAATCCGCCTTTCATCCCCACTGTTAAAGAATGTATGAAAGGCTGACACGGAGCTGAGGAAAAGAAAGGTAAAAAGAGAAAGAAGTGGTGCACATCTGGGAGTGAGGCTCGCATTGCTGTGCAGGAGTTGGTTGGAGGAGGTCTGCACCCGTCGCTTGCTGCAAGTTGACTAATTAAACTGTTTTGCTGCTCAAACATTCAAATGGCCGAGGAGATTTAGAGCATGAGCGGGAACGGGAGTTTATCTATATGGGTGTGTGTGTGTGCATTGGGAGGTTGTTAATCTGTGTTCTGACCCATCTGAACCTTGAAGTCTCTCACACACACGAAACAAAAAAGCTTAAAGCCTTTGTTTTGTCACCTCAAAGGCAAGAAAAAGGCAGAAGGTTTTGAAGGAGTGATCCTGAGATTTCTTTTCTTCCCTGTAGAGAAGAACATTGCATTCGCTCCTGAAGAGAACCCAAGATGACCACAAACACAATCCACCGTGGACTAATGGAAAACCCCTCAACTGAAAGCGAGTGTTCTTTTCGTAACCCTGACAACAAGAAAATGTCCAGTGACTTCACATAGGAGCATCTTCTCTTTGCTTCACAGATTATCGATAAACAAAATCAAAATTCACACATCTGACGACGAGTCTCCCAGCAAAGCCTGCGTTTATTGTAGAGGAGAAATAATCGGTTAAACTCAATGCTACTTGAGTCAATGCTGCTTTTAAGCTTTTTCTTTGTTTCCAAATGTAACTAAATTGATGGTCAGAAAAGCAAAAACGTACCTTAACAACCGACTTCTCTCACTGCATCTTTGAGTCTGGGAACTGAGGAAGGTATTATAGTCCCAAACACTTCTTCTTCTCTCAGAGCTGAGAGATTAGACTGGTTATCCCATTAAAGTTGGTAAAATGCCATTCTTGAGTCTTTAAGCTCTCGTATAGGAGGTCAAGATGAGTCTGCTGGCGCTTACAAGGCGGGCAT